TTTTTTTTTTTTTTTTTTTTTTTTTTTTTTGGCTACTTTAATTGATCGGCGCCCGTAGCTGAGTTGCAAAGATGGTTGTTACCTTTTTTTTCTGATTCTTATCCTTCTCTTCTCTGTGTTCTTCCCGCGCATCTCCTGTAGCCCTCGGCAGCAATCTCCATTCACCCCCTTGCTGCGTGCGCGCATTAGACCATGGTCGTGGATGGTGAGTGCCCCCTCCCCTCCCCTTCAACACCGCGTCGCAATTCTGCGAACCCAACCCACTGACCAATTCTTGTGGTTGTGATGTCTGCAGAAAAACCACCCGTGGACAACGGCGAGCTCACGCCGGAGCCCTCCCAGTATGGGGCTGTCAATGAGCGCAAGCTCATGGCCAAGATCGATTGGCATGTGGTACCGTGTCTGTGTGTGATGTATCTCCTCGCCTTTTTGGATCGGTAAGCAAACGGTCGACTTTCTCTGCACCACGGCGTCCTCGCGCGCGCGACACACCGGCAACCCTCTCTGACACCCAGTGGCGCAGAGTGAACATCAGTAATGCCGCGATCTTGGGTCTTGAAAGCGACCTCCACCTTACCCAGGGCACGAAATACAACACCGCCCTGACCATCTTCTTCGTCCCCTATATCATCTTCGAGATTCCATCGAATGTGTTGATGAAGAAGCTCAAGCCGCACACATGGCGTACGTTGGACGGTTCCGCGCCCCCCCCTGCGCAACGAATGAGTGCTGATTGGGATTTTCGGCCTCGATAGTATCGCTCTGTATGTTCGGATTCGGCCTGGTCATGGTCTGCCAGGGTTTCGTTCAGAATTGGGGAGGATTGATGGCAACGCGGTGGTTTCTGGGCATGTTTGAGACAGGATTGTTCCCTGGATGTGAGTCTCCATCACGCCCCCGTATGGAAGTGACTTGCATGCTGATCCTGATGTTCCGAAATCCGCGATAGGCTTCTATCTCCTGGGAATGTGGTATAAGCGCAGCGAGGCGCAGAAGCGCTTCAGCTTCTTCTTCAGCTCGACAACCCTGGCTGGTGCCTTTGGTGGGTTGCTGGCGAGTGGACTCGGCAAGATGGACGGAGTGCGTGGTCTGGCTGGATGGCGCTGGGTGTTTATCATCGAGGGGATCATAACGTGCCTGGTCGCGATGGGCTGCTTCTTTGTCGTGCCGGACTTCCCGGAGGATGTCAAGTGGCTCACGCACGAGGAGCGGGACTTCCTCCGGGACAAGTTGGCGCAGGATGCCGGCAAGTCTGCGGTCGATGTCCAGGTGGGCTGGCGCGATATCCTGGCGGTGTTCAAGGATTGTAGGTGGCTCGCGATCGATCGATTGCCATGTCTTGAGCGCAGAAGCCTGACTGACCTGTCCGCAGACAAAATCTTCATCGGCGGTTGGATGTACTTTGGACAGGTGGTGACAGCCTATGGTGAGTGGTGGTGGTGTTTCGGATCTCCTTGGGATCAGACACAACTGGCTGACACGGTCTCGCAGGTTACGCCTACTTTGCTCCGACCATCATCAAGACCTTTGGTTATGGAGGTATGCTACACCATCTGTTCTCCCCCCCGGCGCATGAAGCCCTACCTCCTACTAACCTCGCCCGTTCCCCCACACATAGCCATCAAAACGCAATTCTACTCCATCCCCCCGTGGGCCGCCGCCTTTGGCTTCTCCATGATCATCGCCTACCTGTCCGATCGCTTCCGCCACCGCTTCCTCTTCACCCTGATCCCCATGCTGGTGGCCATGGCCGGCTTCGGCATCCTGATCAACATCCACAACACAGCGCAACACCACGTCCAATACGGCGCCCTGTTTCTGGTCACCTGCGGCTGTTACAGCGCGATGCCCGTCTTGGTATGCTGGTTCGCCATGAATCTCGGGGGTCATCGTCGCCGCAGCGTCGGAACCGCCTGGCAGATCGGTTTTGGCAACAGTACGTGTTCCCCCCCCCCCCCTTCAGCCACAACTTATATCACGCAGACTTACTAATTCATGTGCAGTCGGCGGCATCATCTCCACCTACTCCTTCCTCTCCAAAGACGCCCCCTTCTACCGTAACGGCTACATCATCGGCGTCTCTTTCCTGGCGTTCTCGGCGGCCATGTCCTGCCTCTACTTCCTGGCTATCTGGCATGATAACCGCAAACGCGACCGGGCGATCGCCGACGGGACGGTGGATCTGAATGCTATCACGGAGGAAGAGGAGGAGTATATGGGTGATATGGCGCCCTCGTATCGGTATGCTTACTAGTGCAGCATGAGAACCATGAGGGGTAATGATCTGGGGCGCACTGTGTGGGGAGGTTGACTATTGTATCTGCATTAATTATAATTGGGGGAGGATGGAACGAATCCGGCCGACGTCGGAGTATATGAATCATGACTCCTGCGTACATTAACTGTTTGGGGGTAAGCGGCGGAGATGGCCGATGGAGTTGTGCGCATACTATCATTATGCGGGATGATGACTGAGCAATGTAGCTTATGCACAGCTGTAATGATGGGTTAATGTGCCGTTGATGCAACACCAGCTCATTGATGAGAGTACAGATTTGATGCATGTTGAGCATAGCGAAGTGAGGGGAGAGTTGAACTATAGGCTTTGATTGAGCCAATGGCTGGCAGACTGGCCTTGACTTCGATTCACGATGTTTATATCTCACTGGGAATCTAGTTCAATACGAGGTTTTACCAACTAGACAAAAAGTCTCAGTTGAGCAAGAATCAGTAGTTGTATGTCAACCTAACAGGCAGTAAGCTCCACCGGTGAACATTGTAAAGAGCTAAATGGCAATGCCTTGGTCTTTTCCCTCTTGTATGCTCCAAGGAAGTCGTCATTTGGGCAGCGAATGACATGTCTGACCCTCTCGGCAAATGTCACTGTAATCGCGGCTCGCTTAGATCTTCTGGCATGATTCAAAGTTGACTCCACTGCAATCTGCTTGAACATGCAGGTTCAACTTCAGCTTACCATCGAGAGAGGGGTAGGGTGGCCGGTGATGGCGAGCGCCTCCGCGAGACTCGCTGCATTTGTTGTTGTTCCTGATGATTGTGCCCTGGAGACGGACATCCACAGAACTTCAAAAGCAGCACTTTTCCGCTAGTGCGTAACACGAGAATCTTATCTTATCAAGACAGATACCATGCTGGACTATCCTCTGGGCTCATAAATAGCCTCGGGCCGAAACCCGCATCGCGGCACAGTATCGCGTAATCACGGCAGGCGATGGCACAATGCACGACCATGTCAAATTAGCTGCACATTAGAAAGCACCTTGTTAGCTTCCAATTAATTTGACTTCATGAATGAGAACAAATGTTCCCGGATGATGCCATTCTCCGAACGGGGGTGGTAGATGCGTTCAGATATGCATGCATTCACTGCCGTGTAGTGAGCGGAACAGATATAAACACCGCAAAGACGCGGCTGTAGACATGGAGTAGCAGACATTCTTCTCTTCGCCCGGCGGTCCCCTGTACATAGCCCCTTGGACCCGAGATGGTCATCCTCCGTCATGTTCCGCTGCTGTTCGTAGCAATATGCGCATCCCTCCCTTTCGTCGTCGCTGACGGCCAATACCGCTCGCGGCCAGACCTCTCCCCCCCCAAGCTGAACATCACCGTCGCCGCCCCCAACGCCAATGGCAGCGAGTATGTGTTCCTGGCCCCCTACGGCAGTGCCCTCCAGCAGCCCGGCGCCTACATCTACCGCAAGAACGGCGACCTCGTCTGGTCGGGCATCGGATACTACGCGGGCTTCGTGGGCAACTTCCACCCGACCACGTACAACGGGGAGCCCGTGCTGCAGGCCTTCGAGGGGACCATCGATTCCTCCCACGGGGAGGGCTGGGGGTACCAGGTGCTCCTGAACGAGCACTACGAGCCCGTCGCCACGGCCAAAGCAGCGAACCACCGCGTGCCCTCCCTCCACGAGTTCAACGTCATCGCCGGCAAGACCGCCCTGGTCGAGGTCTACACGCCCACCCCGTGGAACCTGTCGGCGTACGGCGGAAATGCCTCGCAGCAGTGGATCGGGGACGGCTACTTTCAAGGTCAGTAGCTGACTGCCTTTGATTGCTCTCCAACGACTGGGAAGGTTGACCCCCAACCCATCCACAGAATTCGACATCGCAACCGGCGACCTCGTGTTCGAATGGAACGCGCTGGACCACATCAACCCCAAAGGTACGTGTCACCCCATCCAGTCAGACACAATCCATCCCAGTTGTTGTCTGGGAGGGGGAGAGCTCAACACAACCAAACCCACCCACACTGACACCCAACAGACAGCCTCATCCACCTCGCCTCCTCCACCGCCAACACCGGCCTCACCTCCGCCACCAGCTGGGACTTCATCCACATCAACAGCGTCGACAAATCCCCCACGCAGGGCCACTACCTCGTCTCCTCGCGACACCTCTCCACCATCTTCAAGATCAACGGCACCGACGGCCGCATCATCTGGCGCCTGGGCGGCTCGAACTCCACCTTCACCCCCTCCCCGCCCTTCTCCTTTGGCTTCCAGCACCACGCGCGCTGGCACTACCAGTCCCCAACCACGGAAATCATCTCCTTCTTCGACAACTCCAACGACGGCGCCGGGCAGGTGTACAACAACGTCTCCCGCGCGCTCGTCGTGGCCCTCGACCTCCCGACGCAAAAGGCCACGGTGGTACGCACAGCCACCGCCCCGTACGGCATCTCCGCGGCCTCGCAGGGGAACGCGCAGCTGCTGGCCGATGGGCGCATCTTCGTCAACTGGGGAGCTGCGGGCGCGGTGACCGAGTTTGACGCCGCGGATCGCGTCGCGTATCATGCGTGGATCGAGGGGGAGGCCTCGATGAGTTATCGCGGGTTTGTGGGGAATTGGACCGGCAGACCCAAAGAGGAGCCGGCGATTGTCGCGTATTATCAGAGTGCGGGTAGCCGGCTCCGGGTGTATGTTTCGTGGAATGGAGACACCGAGACGGTGGGGTGGCGGTTTTATGCGCTCGGTAGTTCTGGGAACAATGGGTCGGACACGCGGAGTTTGGGCGCCGTGGAAAGGAGCTCGTTTGAGACGGTTTTGGTGGTGGATGGAGCCGCCAGGGAGAGGGTTTATGCGGTCGCGGTGGATAAAAAGGGGGATGTCTTGGGGAGAACGAGGGCTGTTCGGGTGCAGGACTGGGTCGCGCTGGTCTGAGGTGGTGTTTGTACTGGGTTAGGGTTATCGGGTTGGATGGAGGTAGATATGGAGGATTCTGGTGAATGTACGGAGTAAAAGTTGTGTTATTGCGCCACAGGGCACACAAGCTGAGCAGAACGATACTGCAAATACTAGAAGTCACAAACACCATGCCCATCAGCACCCACAGGAAACGATTCGGAAGCGAGCGATGGCCAGCTTGGGCGTGGCGTATGACACGGTCCCGAGAGCACAGTTGATGGAATTGATCAGCAGCGCCCTTCCCGCCGATCCATGCCTCCTTGCTCGACTACCGTGGCGGTGTACTCGTCGAATGTAAAGCTGCCCAGGTATATGATCGATCATACGTTGTGGATGAGTCTAGCGATGATTAGTTGCCTCGCCAAGGGTCCCGACAGTCTGCCAGTCCGCGTCAACAGAGGACTGGCCTTTCCGCTAGCGTACTGTGTGCAGAGGAATTCGTAGATCGATGAAGCTGCCGTAGAGCCGAACCCTGTGAGACAAACGGGCGGATTGGAGTCTTATTGAGTGTGAGTTGGTGTGAGTATGCGACGAATGAAAGTTGTGGGTGTGCGGTGGAGGACGTTCAAGCATAAATTAGGGCTGATGATTTTGCGCTTGTCGGGCTAGAAAAGAATGGCACTTATGCAGAAGCGTAACTGGCAAACAGAAGAGGTTCATGTTCATACATGCCAGGCATTTGCACACATTTGCAAATGGTGCTGAAAGTCATAGTAGGAGACTCAATTGCTAACGTAGGTGGACTACATAAAGACACCCTCACACTCTATACCATGGCGAAGACAATTTTGGTCTGATCATAAACGTGGAAACAATCCAGTCAAAGAGTCTTACTCTGTCTCCTGCTTAACGCCAGTGACCCGTGCTTTGAGAGTCCACAATCCCTTTTCCGGCCTCTGCACAATCATCTCCCGCCTGAAGGCCATGCTCTCAGGAGGAGTATCGTAGAGCTCCAGATCAAAGCGGAGAACAATCGTTGCCAAAGCCGTGTAAAGCTCCGCATAAGATAGACTAGTGGAGATTAGAGTCAACCCATCAGCATCCCCGCGGAAAATTGCATGACCCGCCCAGGAGGATTCGAAGGAAAAGAAGTACTGACTTCATTCCCACACATGCCCTTGTGCCTCTCGTGAAAGCCACGAGATATTTCGAGAGATTCACCCCTTCTTGACGAGCGGTAATCCACCGCTCGGGATCGAAGACCTTGGGATTCGGGAACAGAACAGGGTTGTGATGGATGAAGTAGCTACTAGTGCTCATTGGGGTCTACACATGATTAGCAGTCTCAAACATTGATCCCTGTTCGGGGCGGCCATAAGCACTTACGCCTGGCGGGATCGTATAGCCATTGCAATACAAGGCCTCCTGTGGTGCCACCCGGGAAAAGCGCATGACAAGCGATCCTAGTCGAAGCGATTCATTCACCACCCCAGTCTGGGTGGTGGATATAATGCATGAGGTGTAGTTCAGAGACAGGAACGGGGCAGGGACAGCGTACTAGGTAGGGCAAACTCTCGACCTGAGGCCACGGGACTCTGCCATCTGATGTTAACGCCATCGACTGCACCTCCTTCCGCAGCTTGAAGAATATCTCCTTGTTGCGGAGCACCTGATACATTCCATATGTCAGAGTGCCAGCGGTGGTCTCCGTACCTGCCAGCAGCAGTACGAAGCTTTCTTCGCGGAGTCGCACCAGTGACCGCTCCTCGGCCGGCACATTGGCATTGCTCAAACTGTGATAGATCGTCGGCGGGCCTCCAACAACGCTCCCTTTCAGGCACGCCTTTGAGTCACGAGCAATGCGGTCTTGCATGTCAAACACGGTAATCAGCTTTGGTTTCACCCACCCCACCAAGCGACGGGGCAAAGCCATCAGCAACCTCGGCACCAGTGGGAAGACCTGGAAGAGATGGCAGGTATTAGTGATCTCCGCAACAGCATCCCAGACGCCGTTGTTCGTGAAATGCTTGGCTCGTAGACACCCCCAGTCCTGGCCATAGCAATAGTGCGTGATGGTGTCGCCAGTCAGCGCGACAAACGCATCGCTCAGTTTGATGACGGTTCCCTCCTCCGCAGAGACCCTGAGGTGCTCACATAGCATGTCGACCTTCTCGTAGATGATCGGCATCAACACACCGACATTCCTTTTGGAGAAGAAGTGGTTCAGCTGGTTGCGTCGAGACCGGTGGAGATCATGGTCGATGGTCGCAAGCGCGGCAGTGGGGCACGCCATGAATGCCGTCATCTCCGGATCTTTCTCCCGTCTGGTGTTTGCTCCAGCATAGATCTTCTCGTAGAATTCAGGGTCGGCGACGTGGACCTGTCTCGGGGTGATTCGGACAATCGGCCCTGGAGACAACGACCATGAGGACTCTGCTGTTTTCAAGGATGACGCGCCTTTGCTTACCATATTGAGCATGCATCTTTTCGATTTCCCAGATGTATTTTCCTCTTCGGATCACATCGTGATAGAACTCAAAAAGGGATGTCATTGCCGCCAGCTTTGGTCCGGGAATCGAACTCAGGGGGTGGAAATACAGGCGGTAGATCCATTGTGTGAGTTTGTACATGAAACCCAGAAGGAGCGCAAACGTCCACATCTTGTCTTTGGAGCAACTTGGCCGACCTCAGAATGGCGTGTAGGCTGTAGCCCAAGGGTCATGGATCGGGGTGGCCAGCCTCGCTCCTTATAGCGTGCGGTTTCATCCGTTCACCTCTTGTTGTCCCTTCTTGCAGACTCACAGGAGTACCAGCACTGAGTGCATGATACGATTCGTTACTAATATCTCCAATGCATGCAATCAGTAGATGTGTTACACACAGAGGTAAGCACCTGTCTGCGCGGTAGATGACACTCCTTGAACGGTAAATGCTCCCTCCTCAAAGGGATAAACTTGAGTCAAGGGGGCTCAGCAAGGGATATGTGTCACCCAGTTCGTGAGGTTTTTTTTTTCCCTTAATCAAGCCTCTCCGATCTATCCTCTGTATCCGTCTCTCGGATTGCGCTTGATCAGCTCGATTCTCTCATACTATAATCGGTCAATCATCCCTACATTCTCGATGCACATAACGGTGGTGACATATCTGCTGTGTATCCTCACGCCATGCCCATTATATCGAGATATCGAAATTGCCACCTCGCACGCGACGCATATGCTCATGTTTCCCTTACGGATTGTACCTCCCGCCAACTGGAAACCGCCCCCAGGCCGGCCCCGGGGTATCTCCGGGGCTACCCTGGGGCTACGACGGGTGATTTCGTGGTCAGCACCCGAGCTGCTCAGTAACTTCTAACTCTACCAAAAATGATTTGTACACAACTTATTCCTCTCATGACCTTGTCAACTCTCCCCATATCCGCCGTGTGCATGACACTACAATCATCCGAGGGTGCAATCTCATTCCGGGCTTCGTGTCATTGGAAAAGTCTATACTCGAAGTGGAGGCAGATGAGGCTTTCGAATAGGTGATTCAATCTAACTTCCAAGAAGCATCATCCCAGGTATCTTACACCTGGTCGACTCCAACTGAGATGTCATGAGACATTCGAACGAACGAGCAGCTGTCTGAGCGCACCTGGAAAGAACAATCTCCATGCCTGCTGTGGTTTGGCATATCCGGGAACAGGACGCTGAGACATCTCTGAGACATATCACTAGTGCCCCAACAGCAAGACATGTCAACAATTAGTCGAGAGCAACTCCTCCATGCTGCCGAGATCTTCTGTTCCGGAAGCTCCATGGAAGGATTTCTACCGCGGGCAAAATCTACGTACTGGGTAATGATGCTACTAAGTGTGAATCCCACTAACTTTGGCCGGTGACGATAGCTCTCTCTTTGGGATGACAGTATTATCTGGTTTCTCGGTCTCGTGCTTCTTCAGCCCTAGATTGACATTGCGTCTTGGATCTATGATCATTCTTGGATGGAATGCATGGTTAGAGAAACTGTCATCTAGCATCCAGTTAGCAGAGCGCCAGTCAATCGATGATGGTTTCACGAAACAGAGAGATATCTTTGTGGAGGGATACAATCTCGCTTCAGGGAGAGCTGATTGACGACGCGACTCTAGATTAGGGACAACTTTGACAGCTCTATCCCATTGAGGATGCTGCATGATGCTGGCATGACTGCCCACGATGCCACAGACCAGACATGCGAAGACCTGATTAGATGAAGGGCATTGTTTCAGGAACGGAGTCGTCACTGTTGAGCAGCAGTGTTGAGTTTAGTTGCTGTAGGTTGGACGATAGTCGCGTACTGCTTTCCATCTAAATGAGCACGGGCAACGGAGCAACTCCGAAGATCCATCCAGATTATCTCGTATCATACAATCCAACCCACCTTCCATCTATCTGTATGAACTCCAACTCAATCTGAAGAATTATCCGTCCCTTGCTTCGCTGTCTTGGCTGACCTCTTCATTGTCGCCTTAAGGCAGAAGAAAGGCATGCTGCGCACGGACCATGGAGCTGTGCTGTAGGATTAGGATCGCCAACAACAAAGAACTCTTAGCATGCACAAACTAAAACACAAGGGGAGTAAGATCTCCCCCAAGTGTAACCAGAGAAAAAGCAACAATCAGTGTTGTGTTCAGCGGTAGAGCCATGAATGACGTCGCCATGTGGTATTACTTCATTCCCGCCATCTCCCCGAGAATCCCCCAACCACCCAGTGATGCAATCAAATCTTGCGCCTAGACATAAAGCCAACCTAATCTACCCACCAACCATCCACCCACTGCTGGCTACCAGAACTGCAACAATGGCAGACAATCACCTCCCCTCCTACACGGACCTGCTAATCATCGGCGCCGGCCCAGCAGGACTGATGGCCGCGTGCTGGGCGGCGCAATTCGACATGCAGACGCGGATCATCGACCAGAAGCCCGGACGGACACCCACGGGCCATGCGGACGGGCTGCAGAGCCGCACGCTGGAGATCCTGGATAGTTTCGGGGTGGTGGACCCGATTCTGCGGAAGTCGGTGCGGCATGCGGAGATGGCGTTTTGGGCGATGAATGAGCGAACGGGGTGTATTGAGCGGAGGAAGCGGACAAAGTCCGTGCGGGGCAGCGCGGTGTTTGATCAGCGGTTGTTGAATCAGGGGGATACGGAGCAGGTGTTTCTCGATTATCTGGGGGGGAAGAGGGGGAAGGTGGAGTATGGGACACGGGCGATTAAGTTGATGGTGTCGGAGGCAGATTCCGAGCGGGATCATCCAGTGGCGGTGGAGGTGGTTCCGGGTAACCAACCCGCTGGTAACCTACCCCCTACCCTACCCTACCCTACCCGGTGTGGTTTGCGGCGTGAAATGTGGCTTACGCGGTGCAGACCGAACCGATGGATCGGAAATCATTCGTGCTCGCTATCTCATTGCCTGTGATGGTGCGCGTGGCTGGACCAGAAACCAGCTCGAGGTCCCCGTCGACAAGAATCAGGGCCAGTCGACCTGGGCGGTCTTTGATATTGTGCCTATCACGGACTTTCGTACGTTGTGGCTCATCCCCCCTTCCATACATCATGGGCTGAACGGTTGCAGCGGACATCCGCCAATCATGCGCGATCAGCTCCGGGGATCGTGGGAGTCTGATGACTGCGCCGCGGGAGAACCGGCTGGTTCGCTTCTACATCCATCCCAAAGGCGACAAGGAGCTGTGCAACGACCACAGTGCGCGGGCAGAGCAGTCGCAGTCACTCGAGGAGCTGGTCAAGACGGCGGAGAGCTTGATGGCCCCGTACAGCTTGACCTACAAGCATTGTGACTGGTTCTCCCTCTACACGGTAGGTCGTGCGCATTTCTGACCGTCATAGGCAGGTTGTTGACCGGCCGCAGATCAGACAGCAGCTCGTCCACCAGCTCCGGCCGCACGACAGGTAACGTAAGCCGGAATGTGGGCTCGGACCTGGACCCCCTTGCTAACTAGATCAGGGTATTTCTGGCCGGCGATGCGGCCCACACTCACTCTCCCAAGGCAGGCCAAGGAATGAACGTGTCGATGCAGGACACATATAACCTGGTGTGGAAGCTGGAAATGGTGATCACAGGGGCCGCCAACCAAAGCATCCTGGAGACATACGAGTCGGAACGACGACCGGTGGCAGACGAGCTGTTGCAGCTGGATGGAGAGCTGGTCGGTGCGTATGAGCAGGACGACGGTGCATCCAAGGGGATTGAGAATGTTCGGGACCGGTACTCCGAGTTTATCTCGGGGCTGGGGGTGACCTACGGGCCGGATGCACTCGTGGCCGACAGATCTGCCGAAGGTCGAGCAGAGAATATACGCGTGGGCAGACGGCTGGATCCGTTCTATGTGATCAACCACGCCGAAGGTGTCTCCATGAGCCTGGGGAGCAGGCTTGTAAGCGATGGCTCGTGGAGGTTACTGGTTTTCGCCGGTGACATCCGTGACGCGGGCCGTCGCCGTCGCCTGGATTCGTTCGCCCAGGAGGTCAGAGACTATCCGTGCCTTGCGCACTTGGTGGAGAAGCGACATGGCACTCGGACCGGGTGGCTTCTGGAGGCTATTCTTGTATATGCGGGCCCCAGGGCGGCGACTGAGCTGCTGGGACTGCCCGACCTCTTCCATCCGTTTGACGATACATGGGGATGGGACTACACAAGAGTATTCACGGATGAAGGCCCATATGAGCCGGGGTGCCGGGGTGTCTATGACGGCTACGGCATAGACAGGGATACAGGATGTGTTGTGCTCTGTCGACCAGACCAGCATGTGGCTTGGGTGGGAGGTCTGGACGAAGTGGCGGAGCTTGAGAGCTACTTTTCTGCCTTTATGAAGCATACATCATCAGACTAGAAAGCTAGCCGGGGATAAGACCTCCATTTTAGAGATATAAACACAGCGTTAAGCGTTTCCATGTACATCTTCTGTCTCTGTTTTCACAGTTGTGATACATCAATGAACGCCGAACCAACCCTCCGCGGATGCTGTCCGAGCAGACAACCAGAGTAGATGCTGCCAGTGAACCGCATCACAGCGAGATGTAAATCCAATTACCCTTGGGGATAACATCCCTGCGATATTACTGCTGTATCCTTAGTATTCATGCACTAACGTCGGATCACGCAAAGCAGATCAAGGTCCACGCAGCCCCACTGCCGTCATCATGGAGTATGAGGGCCTCTAACCTCGACTCTAGGGCAAAGTCTCGACCGGGATCCCCTCCTAGTGGTATTCTCCTGATGCACGCGGCGTTTCTCCCGGTAGCTGATTTCCCGAAGATCCCTGCGCCAGCCCATCATCATGACCACATCCCGCCCGCAGGGGACGATTCCACCCCCCGCCTATACCAACCGATCACGGGTGATCGTCTCAATCGATTGGCTTGAGGGTTTGGTTATTCCATTCTATTGGAAGAGCGCGATGGGCAGTGAGGTCGAAAGGTGACTTCAACCGTACCTGTCTGACCCTTGTCCCTGACCCTCAACCCCTGTATACAGCCGCCGAGATGCAATGATACATACATACGTAGCCGTCCAGTGACATCAATCAGCTATCATTCCTGAGACACAAGTCATCACCATCAACCACCTGTACACCCCGCAATTACCCTATGATTCATGCACAGGGCTGAATTCATTCTCCAGCGCCACTTCGCCTCAATGGGCGGCCACGCCTCCCGCGGCAGCTTCCAACCGGGTGAGACCCGCGCCCGCGAGGCGGGGCGGAAGGGCGGCTTGCACTCGGGCGGGAACTTTGAGCCCAACGACGAGCGGGCGCGCGCGGCGGGGCGGATACTCCCGATTAGTAATCGCTAATCGATTGAGATGTGATGATATTGGCTGATGCGAGATACTTATGACAAGTTTGATGATTTTAATAGGTTAGTCAAGGGAGTGTGTATAACTAGTTAGGTAACATTGGTTCCTGAGTTCGATGTGAATTTGTACTATGCAGTGATACGAATGGAAGATTTATTTTGAATGTCTTTGCCTTTTGCTGGTGTACTTAGATGTAGAGCTGAATGCGTATTGTGAGGATGTAAGGATTGAGAGTAAGCTACTGTACTTTGTACGAAGTACCTATTTGTACTGTGTATATCGTCCAAATGTACTCCCGTACTGGGTATTGATAGGTAGGTATGGCCCGTGCAGCCGCCATCCCAGAACAAGCCAGCTGCAACCAATCGCCGACCGCCCAAGCCTAGACTAAAACCGTGCTTTTCTGTCATCTCGATCGCCGCAGGAAAAAAGAAACGCACCGGGGAAATATACCTGCCAATCACAGCAAATCAATGGGGCCTGCCTTACTTGATCGGGTGAAGCCGAGAGTCGTGACATCATCGATGGCAGATAACAAAGTTACTTGGTGCGGCAGCCGCTCAGCGTCGCTCCCTGATGATGTCAATTGGTAAAGTGGCTTGTGCGGCGGCCGTTCAGCGTCGCTCACTTGATTGCCCTCCATCAGGCCATATCATTTTTCTAGTGGGGAGTGCTCCATAGGAAGTGCTCCATAGGAAGTGCTCCATAGGAAGTGCTCCATAGGAAGTGCTGCGTCACGGTGTAATTGGAGTGAATAGGTCCCATTGGAAAATTTTCGTATTTGATATTATTTTGTATGTTGCATGAGCGTCACAACAATGCGGTTCTTTTGAATATACCCGCCAAATCAGATTTCCCCCCTTTCGCTTGCTTGCTTGCTGGGAAGACAACGCCAATGTAGAATAAACCCTCCATCGCTGTCCTAGTCAACACCAGGATGGCCGCCATACAGGCCGATTCCCAGGACAGGAAATAAGACATAAGTAATGCACAATCCGAGAAGAAGAAGGATCCAGACAGAAAAAAAAAAGAAAAAAAAAAAAAAAAAGGAAAAAAGGGGAAGACAAAAATCGTCAAGACATCATATAGAAGCTGTGTAGGGTTCCCGCAGAGCGCACACCATCACGGGCTCTCCTTCATTTTTACCTCCGCATCCTCCTCCTCTTGCTTGCCCTCATTCCCCTTAGAACTAGCCGCCGCAGCCGCCGCAGCCGCAGGCATAGCAACCATATCATCAAACCCAAACGCAGCCGCATCCACCTGTTCAGCCTGCGTCGTCCGCAACGGGGTCCCCGACTGCCCCCGCAGCGACACCGCTGATGACAGCTCCGCCCCATCCACCTCCGGCTCACTCGGCCCCGTCGACACTACCGAAGCACTGCGCTGCGACAAACTAGCCACCATCCGCGCCAAATGCGCCTTGATGCCGGGATCATCGCACCCCGAGTGCTGCAGGAGCTGGTTCTTCAACTCCAGGATTTGGCTGCGCAGCTGGCTGACCTCGCTCTCCAGCCGCGTGTTAGTCTGCGTCACCTCCATGCACTTGCTCTCCAGCTGACGCGTGTGCTCCTTCTTCTTGCGCCGGCACTTGTTGGCCGCCACGCGGTTGCGCTCCAGGAACCGCTCGCGCTTCTGCTGCTCCATCGCCTCGCGGTCGGGGGAGTGGGCATAAGGGTGCTGGTGTGGTTGAGCCAGGAGGTCGGAAGGTCGGCGGAGGCCGTGGCCGTGGCCGTGGCCGTAACTGCTACCGGCGCTGCCGGCGCTGCTGGCGCTGCTGGCACTGCTGATGCTGCTGATGCTGCCGTAGCTGCGCTGCGAGTGGTCGCTGATGCTCCCGCGCGAGGTGAGTTCATGCATGGAGACGGGGTAGGAGGAGGGGCTGCCGGCGAAGGGGTGCATGGTGGAGGAGGTGGTACCGTCGAGGAGGGGATCTTTCGGTGCCAGGTGAGGGTAAGATTGAGGGTGTAGGTGTGGGGGGGTAGTTTGGTCCCGGGAGAATAGGTTGGGCTCGCTGAAGGCGTTCATGAAAGTTTGCTGGTGGGAATGCTGTTGCTGTCGCTGAAAGCTGTCCAACCCCTCGGCTGATGGGGCTGGAACCCCCGGTGTGCTGCCGCTCATTGACCATTCTTGCATTCCGTCGAACAATGGCATCGTGAGGAAGTCGGAGGAGATGGGGCTTTCGATGAGGAATGGCATCGGGCCCGTCCAGGTGATATCGGACTTGGATGGGGCCCCAGGCATGGAGGAGTGGTCCATGTTGACGGACATGGTGACTTGGGTCGTTTGACTCTCTTCCGCGTGTGCTCGACAGAGGTAATATATGTGAGAATGGGATGTATTAAGTTTTTCAGTTCAGGCGTAGATATATTGCCACAGCAGAGTGTCGGACCGGAAGAGACAGGATTTGTGTAACTATATAGATAGATTTAGGATAGTGACAGGAAGGTTGCTTCCGGGTCACAAATCGTCAGGATACAGGAAGTCTATCGCCAGGTGGGGACGATGGGAAAAGTATAGAGTAGGGAAAGGCAAGGCGTGCAGCGAGGATGTCCCATACCTTTTAAGAAACCACGCAGACTTCCCCGTCCCCACGCGCCTGGCAATGACGATGCATGCGGGCCAGTTATCTCCCCTGGACGAAAATAAGAGCCGTAAGGCAGTCAGAACATTAGGAGGATATTTCCGGCACGGGAGGAGAGGGTGCATTTTTCTAAGGGATCGGCTCTCACAGCAGAGGGCGAGTGATTTTCGCAGTGCGAGCAGGTCAAGGAACGATGGAACGACAGTTGACAGGGGAAGGAGGATAGCACCATGCGGGCTGATTGGCATACAGTCGAATCCAGTGGGCTGGACCCGATGGATCGAAAGAGGGTCGAGTTGAGTTGAAAATCGGTTGATATCTTGGATCGCGGGGAGAATTGAATTGGACAATGACGTCTCCAGTCGATCTGCGGTCTCCGCTTCATCCGACTGGGGAGGGGGAAGATATCGACTGCGAAAGTCCTCTACAATTGAGTCGGCCAGAGACGATACAGAAATTGCCTGGAAAGGATGGATTGAGTTCTAGCTATGCTGGTGATTCTTTCTCAGCTTGCATTCTATTCATTCTGTCCTCTATGCAATATGTTTTCTTCCCGATTGTTCGGAATTTTCCTATTGTTCGACTGCAACCAGCAGGGGCATGACTAATCTGCCGATCGTTTCCGCTTAGAGCTCTGGCATTTTGTTCCGCCAATGAATTCGGAACATTGATACTAATCAAGTTCAATCTATTTCACTCCCCACCTCATACTGGTAGTAGGTATCAGTAACTCCCTCCCTCTCGCTGTACTCCGTAGTCGACGCAAATCGTCGCCCCTTCATCTCAATCCACGGCTTCCTCCCACTGTCCCTTTCGGTATCCCGTTTCCGCCCCTGGACTCTACTGACTGACCTACCCAGACATTGATGAGCACATACGAGTCATCAAACCAAGAAGAAGCAGAAAGAAGGACACAACAGCCAAGCGACTGCCAATGGGTACTGGTTCTCGACTCTCTCTTCCCGTCCCGCATGATTGAGTCCCATTCATTGGTTTCAGAACCCCTTGGAGATCGGCCCGTTTCAGAGGCTGCGGATGCGCACACACCCTCAAGTGCGGGTCAAACCTGCATGTTGCACTATAAGAGGTGGGGCAGCTGTAAGCTGGCCACAGCTGTACGGAGTATTTCCTTGAAATCTGAGGTGGTGTACTTTTTTTTTTTTTTTTTTTTTTTT